CAAACTACATGAATATTATACTTTCCTATTTTAAGAAGTTACTAGAGACTGGTGAGATGGCTCAGTGAGTGTGTTAATTACTTTTCTGTTGCTGTGATTAGACACTATGACTCGCCAGGTGTGGCCTTTAATTCCAGCACTTGAGACAGAAATAGGTGGATATCTGTGAGTTTGAGGCTAGCTTGGTCTACATCACATCATGAGTTCCAGGCCAGCTAGGACTACAGGGAGACCTTGTCTCAAAAACACAAAACAACAACAACAACAAAAAAGACACTATGACCATGGCAACTGGTGACTTATAGAAGGAAGAATTTGAACTTTCAGTTCCAGAGGATTAGAGTTCATAATGGTGAGGAAGGATGGCAGCAGAGGTGGTCAGAGCAGAAAGCCAAGTGATCACACCTTCAGGTAGGACCAGGAAGCATAGAAATCCAGCAAGGCTTAAGAACTCTCACATCCTGCCCCCAATGAGGTGCTTCCTCCAGCAACCTCCCAAAACAGCATCTGGAACTGGGGACAAAATGTCCAAATACTTTGAGCCTATGGGTGACATTTTCATTTAGACCACCATAGTGAGTAAAGGTACTTGTTGCTAAACCTAATGACCTGAGTTCAGTCCCCAGAATCCACATGGTAGAAGGCAAGAATTGATTCTGCAAAATTCTGACCTTCACATGCATGCCATGGCATGTGTGTGCCCACACAGATGCACATACTTTTGTGTGTTTTTCAAAAAATTATTAAGCCAGGTGTGGTGGCGCATTCCTTTAATCCCAGCACTCAGGGGAGGCAGAGGCAGGTGGGTCTCTGTGAGTTCGAGGTCACCCTGGTCTACATAGAAAGGCCAGCTAGAGCTACTGGGAGACCTTGTTTCAATAAGACCAAAAAAAATTTTTTTTTATTAAAAAAGAAGTGATTAGGCTTGATTCAGTTCTCTTTTCTGTCTTGCCCAAGTGTTTTTGTTTGTCTTTTCTTTGAGACAAGGTTTTCTATAGCCCAAGCCGGCCTAAAGTCACTGCATAGTTGAAAATGACTTTTGAACTCTCCTGATCACCCTTCCTCTGTATCCCAAGTACTGAGATTACAGACATTTGCTATATTGCCCAACTTTTGCTTAAGAAGTTTTCACTTTTTAAATTTTCAGTGTTTTCACTTGTATAGCAATTATTTGTTTTTGATAGTACTGGGATCCAACCTTGTGAATGTTAGGCAGGAAATACCACTGAGCTAAATTCTAAACTCTCAGCCTTCTAAAGAACTTCCCAGCCCTGCAATGAACATTTTTATATACTCTTTGTGTACTGCTTAACTAAATGTTGATATAATATTTTGAATAAATAGAAATATTATTTTTAGTAAATGTCAATGTTATGACAGCATTTTAGTGTCTGTGAAACATTTTGAGTATATACAATAACTTTTTGACCTTTTAAAAAATATGTTTATTTTATGTGTATGAGTGTATTGCTTGCATGTATGTTAAGTGCACCTATGTCATGCAGTGCCCTCAGAGGTCAGAAGAGGGCTTCAAATTCCCCTGGAACTAGAGTTATGGATGATTGTTAGCTCCATGTGGGTGCTGGGAATTGAACCCGAGTCTCCTGCAAAAGTAGCCAGTGCTCTTAACTGGTAAGCCCTCTCTCCAGTCCCTATTTGATCATTTTTGTTGATGGACATTGTTTGCTTATTATGAATGATTTAACAAGTTCCCTTGGAGCTAGAGAAATGGCTCACTGTTTAAGAACACTTGCTCTTTCAGAAGACCTGAATTTAGTTCCTAGCATCCATATCACAACTGCCTATAACTTCAGTTCCAGGGGTTCTGGTGCTCTTTTCTGGCCTCCATGAGCACCAGGCATGCATGTGGTTACACATACATACATGCAGCCAAAACTCTCATACACATAAAAATTTATGAAAAGGTTTCTTTGTGTGTGGTATATAACCTTTCATTATAAATGAAAAATTTATTGGTCATTTCATCAATGTGAAGTTATTGCCCCTTTCCCCCTTAGTGGGAATTGAACCCAGGGTCTTAAGAGTGCTTGACTTGTATGTACTTCAGTGGTGACCTGTGTTCTCTACATAAGCATGCTAGTTTTATTAAACAAAAATTACAGATTTTTAAATATTCTGTAATCAACAATGGAGAAGATTGTCATGTTATATTCTAATAGTTGATTTATTTTTATTTCCACTAGATCAGAAGCAACCTAATTTTTCAGTATAGTCATTAATGAAAATTAGACATCTTGAGGAAATATTAATAGCTCTAATAGCTTAAGTTTTCTCTTTTGTCAGTGTAAGGAGATGAACTTCATTCTATGTTCTGTTGTCACATTCTAAAAACTACAATGTACTGACTTAGTATGTTGTAGATGTTAGTTACTAAGCCCTGTGTCTAGTGAGCTACTTTTCTGTAACTACTTTAATTCTTATATTGGGGCTTTTTTTCCTTTTTCCTAATCATTGCCCTACACGTTGTTGAACCTGGAACCCTCCCTCCATATGACAAACATTTATTGAGTGATTAGCTGTGTGCCAAGCACTTTCCACTCCTTATCTTGCTGGTTCTTTCTACCTTCAAACTGCTTATCAGTAACTTCTTTCTGGCTTTTGGAGACCATATTTTTTCATCTTCTGCCCTTCTGACTATTCCTTACCATTTTTCTTTGCCATTATTTCTTTTTTGAGTCTTTATTTTCTTTCTCTTTAGGCATTGTAAACATTGGTTTCTTCCAGTTTTATGATTTATACTATGGTTTTAATTACTACCTCTATACTGAGGACTTCCAGAAAATCTTTTCTAAGGTTTATACTCAAAAAATAAACCAAATATAACTACCCAAAGTTGCCATATCCAGTAGGTCTTTGATATAGTTTTCTTTTATTTGATTTATTCCTTTTGTTTTATTGTGTATCTCTTATCTTCATAATGCCACCCTTTAAGTCTTCAAGGATAAAAGCTGAGATATTAACTCTTGATTGCTTCTGCTCTCAGAGCAGCTTCTGGTCCACTGACTTTTCTCTCTGGTTGTTTCCCAGATTTGGCTCATTTTCCTCTTGGAATAGCAGTCTCTTTTTTGCTTCTAGGTTTGTTCTCTACCCTATTTTAGAATGAGCTTTATTAATTTGTTTGCTTGTTTTCAGACTGCTTAGGGCTATATTTGAGTTATAACTGATTATATCCCTTCCTCATTATGACAGAATAAAGTAATTGTAACTTGGTTTTCTACATCTTTCGGTTTATCATTTACTTCCCCCTGCCTTCCTTACTTTGCTGTATTAGCATGCAGTATATGTGTATACTTTGAAATAGAGTATTATCTCTGCCTGGCATGCTCTTGTCTCTTTTACTTGACTTTACCTTTAAAATTTAACATAATCTTCCTCTACATCCAGAAGCTGTCTCTGTTTACTCCATCATGGGCCAGGGGAGCGATTTTTGTCTTCTATTGGGATTGTTATGTTAAATACATAATACATACATAATACATAATACATACATAATATTGAAGGGTATTATTTCTATTTCTATTTATTTATACTGTTGTATGTGTGTGCTTGCATGATCTGTGTAGTGTGTGTATGTATGTGTATGTATGTTGTGTGTCACAGCTTGTATAGGAGTCAGAGGACAACTTTGTGGAGTCAGTGTAGCAAATACCTTTACCTACTGAGCCATCTCTCTAGTCCCTGTCTTTATAGGCAGTGCTTGTTCTATATAAAGTGAAAAGTCTTAAATGCCTAAAATAATGGATCAGTAAATTTTTTCTTTTTTTGTATATGTATGTTTGTGAGATATATGTGTATGTAGTGTACATCCATGTGTGGGTGCATGCTTATATATCTGCAAAGGCCAGAGGAGGGCATCAGGTGTCCTCCTTTATCACTTTTCACCTTAACCATTGAGATGAAGGTCCTGCTGAACCTGGACCTCAGGTTTTTTGGCTAGGCTGTCAGTCAGTAAGCCCCAGTGATCCTTTTGTCTCTGCCTCTCAGTGCTGGGGCTACAAACATGTGAGAGACCATACTCGGCTTGTTATAATGATGCTGGGGTCTGAATTTCATTTCTCTTGCTTGTGCAGCAAGTATTGTTAATCACAGAACTATTTACCTGGTCCAGTTTTTTGTTTGTTTGATATTGGTTATTAATTTTTTTTAGGTTGTTATTTATAAATATTATTTATTTAATAATTATTTTCTTTGTGTATGACAATTATCTAAACTTGGGGACTGTGCTCTACAAGATATATATATATATATTCATAGTATAAATGATGTGATGTACTTTTGTACTTTCATTATAAAAGAAGCGCATGTATTACTGAAAGCATTGATGCCAGAATCTAATGCCATTAGCTCACCTGTTAGCTTGATGCACTTGCTACTTCCTGCATGCCTTGGCCTAAAATTTGTGTGCATATTTTAGGGTTTTGTCTTTTGAAAATGTTTTATTAAGATTTTATTTTATTATTTATTTATATATGTATGTATTTATTTTGAAACAGTCAGGGTCTTACCACGTACCCCTGGCTGACCTGGAACTCATTTTGTATACCAGGCTGTCCTTGAATTCAGAAATCTGCCTACCTCTGCCTCCCAAATGCTGGGATCAAAGATACATGCGTCCATGCCTGGCCCTTGACAAGAATTTTTTTATTTACTTTATAGATTAGATTTGAGAATGTTAGAATTATGACTAAATATCATTGGGTTCCTTTTACTTAACTGAAAGAGAATATTTGCCAGCTTTTCTTAGGAACCAGATACCCCCATCCCCCATTCCCGTCTCTTTCTCTTTTTGTTTTAGACAAGGTCCAGCTTTGAATTTGTTATGTAGCACAGGCTGGTCTTGAACTCCATTCTTCTATCTCAGCCTCCCAAGTACTGGGATTACAGGTATGTGCCACCATGTCTAACTCTATTAGGAACTAGGTTTTGAAAGCTGCCTCTTCTGTCTGGTTTCTTACCCATCTTCGCTTTCTGAATTGTAGTTACAGATGTAGAGCTCAAACGACTCAAAGATGCCTTCAAGAGGACCTGTGGACTCTCATATTACATGAGCCAGCACTGCTTCATCAGGGAAGTGCTTGGGGATGGAGTACCTCCTAAAGTTGCAGAGGTAATCTTTGTGTTACTGGGTTTCCTTCCTTTCAGTTATCTGCTAACTTAAATATTTTTTACAAAGTTATTTTTCAAATTACTTTTTATTCTTTTTCTGTACTTTTTAAATGTTTCGTTTTGTTTTCAGACAGGGGCTCATATAACCCAGACTGGCCTTGAATTGACTGTGTAGCTTAGTATAACATAGAACTCCTGATCCTTGTGCCTCATCTCTTGAGAGTAGGGTTTATAGGCTTAGGCTACCTCTCCTTGGTTTCTTTCCTCGTTGCTTTTAAAATTCTTGAAGAATCTTCTCTTAAAAAGACTTAATCCTGGGTGGCAGAGAGTTTTTAAAAACAAAGACTTAGAGATGACTTAATAGTTAAGAGCACTGACTGATCATTCTCACAGAGATCAACCTGCTTCTGCCTCCTGAGTGCTGGGATTAAAAGTGTGCACCACCACACCCAATTTATTATACTTCTGATTGTGTAATATCAACCGTTTTAACTGCACAAAATATTAAATGAGGGGCTGTAGAGATATAAGACCCTATACTGCTCTTGCAGAGGACCCAGGTTTGGTTCCCAGCATCTATATAACTACTTGTAACTCCCAACTCTAGAAGAGTAGTTGCTCTTTTCTGGCTTCCACAGGCACCTGCATTTTTGTGCACATACCTATATACAGACACACAAGCATCTACATAATTAAAAAATAAAATCTTTAAAAATTTAAATGAACAGAATTTAGTGTTTGCTGTGGTGGTATCTGTCAATAACCTCAGCTCCTTGGAAGGCTGAGGCAGGAAGATCACTTGACCTAGGAATTCCAGATCAGCTTGAGTGACATAATGAGACCCATCTCAAAAAAACAAAAAAAACAAAAATTGAGATAATTGAGAAAATATAGAAAATAAATTTTAAAATGTGTTATGTTTGAATTTTCAGTATTTATCTTTATAATACTAAATATGAATTCTAGCTGATGATATTAACAGAAGAAAGTGTATCAATCTCTTATAAAAGTACATTAGGGAGCTGGGTGTGGTGGGGCATGCCCTTACTCCCAACACTTAGGCAGAGGTAGGTGGATCTCTCTGCATTCAAGGCCAACCAGGTCTATGTAGAGAGGTCAGCTGGGGCTACAGGGAGATCCTGTCTCAAAAAGACCAAAAAAAAGAAGAAGAAAAAAAAAGTACATTAGGGGGCTGGAGAGATGGCTCAGCAGTTAAGAACAGTGGCTGCTCTTGCAAAGGGCCTGGGTTTAAATCCCAGCACCCACATGGCAGCTAACAACCATCCATAACTCCAGTTCCATGAGATCTTACACCCTTGTCTGAGCAGGGAATGCACTCATACACATAAAATAAAAATAATAAAAGATATTTTTTTAAAAGTGCATAAGAACTTTATTATTGTCTAGATGGTTTATTTTTTGATTTGTTTTGAGACAGTCTTACTATGTGGCCAGATCTTGCCTAGAACTTTCCATGTAGCCCAGACTGTCTTTGAATTCACAGTCTTCCCCAGTGCTTGGGATTACAGGTTTGTGGCACCATGTCTGGTTTTTCCAAAATATAGTAATTTTTTAAAAACAGCTTCATAAACACAGATCTGTCATTAAGCATAAAGAGACTCAGAAACTCAGCCCTATAAAACACTATACTATATATATTATAGTAATTATGAATTTTCTAAGTGTTATACTAAATTTCACAGAAGTTGTTAACTTATTTTTTCACTTAAAAACCCAGAGTACTGGTGAGATGGTTCAGTGGTTAAGAGTACACACTGCTCTTCCAGAGGCTTGAATTCTATTCCTACCATCTACATTGGGTGACTTACAACTCCCTCTGACTTTAGCTCCAGGGGATCTAATGCCTTTTTGCCTTCATAATACCTGCACTCATGTGTACATACCTACACACAGACACATAATCTAAAATTTTAAGTCTTTTTTAAAACACTCATAACTAATGTAGAATCAGTTCTTTTGCAGTCTTTTTTTAATAACTAAGGTACTGGCATTATTGATATAGTAAATTTAAAATAGACACCTCTGTTTAATAGCATATGTAATTGATATTTTAAGGTAAAACAAGAGTTGGATTAATTTATAACTGGCACTATTAAAAATTCTTATATATTTTTGTTAATAAAATGTAGCCATGGTTTTGTCAGCAGTGGTGGTTTGTACCTGTAATTAAAACACTGAAGAAGTTGACGCAGGAGGATTGTATGAGTTTGAGGCCAGTGTGGGCTACAGAATAAGACTACTGTGAACAAAGCAAAGGCAGGGATCAGGGAGGGAGGGAGGGAAAGATGGAGAAAAGAAAGCTTATTTTGTCTCATGTGAAAGAAGCTAATAGAGTCTTATTATATTTTGCTGTATTCAAGAGATACTCTTTTTAAATTCAAGTCAGAAGCATCTGTGAAAAAAATACATTATGTTTTTTGTAACATTTGAATAGAGTTTAGCTTTTTAAGTAATTTGTAATTTTATCATTTTTTGTTTTTATA